ACTAAATTTATGGAGACTATTCCTTGCTTTCTTTCCCCTGTGATACTTTTCAGGTGAGCTTCTGTATATATTATTTCAGGAACAAATTGGCACCTGAGTAGAATCAATGGCATTCTGTGAGATACTACACATATATAACCATTTATGCATAGAAGAAATTTATCTACAATTGTATATAAGATAAGTTTTATATGACATTTTGTTCGTTATTATAAAATATCTTCTTTCATTGTGCCAAATACTTGAGATGAATTCTAAGATTTAATGACCACATGGCTCTCTTTGTCAGGCTAAAAAGGACAAATGGCAAGTTATTTTTTTTATAAAAGTGGCTTTAATTCATTAAGAAAATTGAATAGTTGTTATAACGTCAAGAAGGTTATATCACGTGTACATTTTAATTTTGTATAGAAGCTTTATTTTAGTATGTATTGAAACTTATTTTGCTGAAGTTATACATAGACTTTGCTACTCAATGTGAAGTGTTTTTTAAGACTTTGCCAGAAGAAGACATTGCGTAACAATTGCTTGGTAATACCTGAGTCTTTTGTTAATGCAGACATAGTATTATTATCGGTATTTAACTGTCATGACACACCGAACACATATGTACACTTCGCTCATGTGTTGGTTTGCTATCAAAATTCACTTAGCATCATCCACTTACTTACATTTTGTAACTTCTATTTCTACTTATATGTTAGCATTATCTATCTATTTGTAAGTCTGTTAACATACCAATTGAAAACAGACATTCCAATATCAATATAATGTTTTGAAATTGACATAGTACATGCAAAATCTTTCCGCAAAATCCCTTAAAATAATAGCGAATAGCCCAGACTTTTTTCCTGCAAGAATCTCGTATATTTCCCGGAAATCAAGAAGGAAACAAAAAGCCTACGGCCTAAATAATCATGATATTATCTTCAAGTGACGAATGGAATAGTCATTATATTTTCAATAGGTCAATGAATACACACGCTGTTTATGCAATGTTTTTCAAAAATAAGTAATTTACGAAATTTACGATTCGAAAGAGTTTAGAGTTATCAATTTTACAACATAATTGCAGTTTTTCAAAATAATTACGCAAGCCGTACCTAGCTTCATTGTGAAACCCAGAATCACAACAATCAAAGTATCCAATAATTCCACGCGGCGTAGAATACTCACAATTATCTTTTAAATCAAAGCAAATATAAGTTCAACAAATTTCAACAAATACAGTATGATGTTAGAATGCAAAAATAAATTTCATTTAGCATTTTTTCAGTCTTGTATTTCTTAAGGCTTCATCATTAATTTGGACTCCTCGCCTGCTATCGATAATCGTTCTTTACGGAAGTTATTTTCTTTTATCTAAGTACCATGGAAAGTGCAGATTATCATTTGTATATACATGTATAATAAATTACAAATTAGTCATGCGATATAAATGTTCGGCTATACACTTCGCCTTATCAGGCTAGATCAAACTGAGCCTGCAAGCTGTTTTTTCTAACATTATTGTTGTTTGCCTTGCCTTAAAGTGATCACCCCTTTGGAAGATGTTTTCATCATACAAAAATGGTTATTTTTTTTAATAAACAATTAAAACATGCAAATAGCTTGTACACCTTTGTGATACCTTATGCTCATTTTCAAATAAATTGTCAAAGGTCAACGTTTGCTGTATTAGCAAGTAAAATGCTAAACACTATATTTCAAGAAATGTAAAACAGATTGTTTTCCAGCAGACGACTTTCAGAAGAATTGCACCTGTTCTGAAACACTTCAGATGTACGAACTGTCAGATTTAATCAAGTAAGTCTGAAATCTATTTTGTTGCTGTTGAAGGAAACGTTTTTGTATTTTCTTAAGTCTCCAACGATAATGTAAAATAATGTTTAAGAATACATATTTGTTTGTGATTAACTCAAAACTTACTGATACAATTCCTTTAATTTGGTTTTTTTTACGGTTTATTTTTTCCTTAACGTGCCCTTTTTTGATTTCATTTCGTACTAAAAAACCCCCCGGGAAAAAATAAGAACTTTTTAATATCAATAGAAAAAATTAATCAATTAGTAGAAAAATTTTGCAAACAAAGTTTTTCTTTAAATGTTGGTTGTCACCATATGTTTTTTTAAAATTTTGGTTTTAATAAACCAAAAGATGGAACAGGAATTTTAAATAATAAAAAAAAGTGTTTTTCAATTTAAAAATATTTAAATTTTTAAAACTACTTAACTAGGCTTAACCTTCAATATTAATGTATAAATCGGCCCATTAAAACTTCCCGGCTGTGATATAAAACTTCGTTATTTATGAACGGAAAACATAAATCATTCCAGGAAGTTTAGCAAATTTTATTCTTGGAAATCTGTTGTTTTCCATAGAAAAAGAATTCTGGGTAATCACTTGAGCCTGGGCTAAAAATAACTCAAAGTAGAGAAATTAAAATAAATAAAAACATCTTTAGGGAAACAGAAAAAAACAGACTGTTATGTTCTCATTATCATACAACATCTAAAATATGCACCAATAAATACTGTTGATTTTTTTGTTGGGGGTGTGTGGGGGTTGGGTTGGTTGTTCAAAAAAAGATTCTGGCTGCTCTATATCTTTTACCCCTTAAAGGCTAAGGATGTTCGTCGTAACTTACTCGAAACACAAAAGAGATACAAACTTACTTACAGGTGGATTGATCTCATAAAGAAAATGTGCAATGCACAAACATAATAACTCTACCCGCACTTGGTTTAATTTAGTGATTGTTCTTTGGCGACATTTAGGTATCACACGTTCGTCGTCCGTCTATCTGTCTGTCCATCACAAAACTTGTCTGGACTACTCAAAAACTAATGGTGCTTTTTCATCGAAACTTTACAGGAATGATCAGTTTCAATTCTAGTTGTACATGTCATCGGCTCTTTATGGTTCTATGTTTTTATCAGAGATATTAACGAACTTTTTACGGATAATTTTTATTTGTAAAGTTTGTCCGGACTACTCCTTTTATACAAATCATGCAATTTCATTGAAACTTACAGGATTGATCGATAGGTCAAGTACTTTTTGCTGAGTTGTGGTCCTTGAATAAAAAACGCTTTTTGCCCTATTTATGATGTGTGTGTGTGTTTGTCCTGCTACACAGTGCGTAACTGCAACATACAGTTGGCTTTCATGAGGTAACACATGTGTTCACTTATTGCCTTTGTTATTGTCATGCTTTATGTTTGTCATCACTAAAAAAACAGAAAAAACATTGAGACATCAACTTGACACATCTTAGGTGGATATATCTCACACAGAGAGTGTAATCTGCTATAATGATTACACACCTCATACTTATTTACTTTGTTATTTTTCATAGTATTTTTTGTCAATAACGACAAACGTGTCCGAGATATCAACTTCGAGCTATCTTATTGAGGAAGAATGCAATTTACAAAAAATAATGATATCTCAACAATTCATTTTGAATTATTGTCTTCTGTTTTGCATAGTTTTAGTGAAAAACTAACCTTACTAAACAATACAGGGTTAACGCACGTTTTTTCGTGTTATAACGTATGCAGAGTCCTGAGGAACGGTTGGTGCCCAAGGGGCGAGAGCTCCAACAGTTCCGAGGGACTCTGCAGACTTTATAACACGAAATAAACGTGTGTAGACGCTATTATAGCATAAAATTTCTTAAGAAGATGACGTATATTTAATACAAAACACATACATTAAATCCTTGTGCTTGGACGGTATTTATCCAATTATACATGTTTTACGTATGCGTTTTATTTTTCCGGGCCCAACTACTTGGGAAATTCAAATGCTCAGAACCGATCAAAAAATCGAATTTTAATTGATTTAACAAAGCCTAACATTGGAAATTTTATGAATTAAAGAAAAAACAACATTAAATTACCCTGCCCAAGACAAAACATTACCGTCAGAAATTCCTAGAATGATTTCAGATTGCCGGTAGAAAAAAAGGTCAGTGACCACAGAATCAAGCTCACAAGTTTATACACTAAACATTATTCTCTCAAAGAAATATAAAGATCATTTATCAATATAAACATCAATAAAACAACATTTTCTCATATTCATTTTGTGTTATCTTGTTTTGTAACTTAATTTGAGGGTTAAACTGGATTACATTTATTTGTTTACATTGACAACTGTCCGTTTCTTAAAAAGGGCGACAACCAAGATTAGCGGCGATGTCTATATACCGTATTTCCGGCATAGTTACTTGAATGCTGCTTGCCGTTATGCGATTGAGGCCCTCGAATCAATAATTTTAATGTAACACTTTTGCAAACAGACCAAATCGTCATTTTTTTTTTACTTGGCCCTGTATGTATTGCGCATAGGTAAAACCGGGCTATAACAAAAGCGCGTGACTTTGTTAACACATGGTTTTGGTCCCGTTATAACATGGGCAAAATAGGGTAAAATAGCCGATTTTATGCTATAATATTTGAAATGTCATCCTTAAGAAGTGTAATAATCGCATCAAAGTTGCGTATACTGTACAATAATGTCTTCATTTTGACTCCGTTTCTATTCCTTTTTTGTTCTACATAATTTTTCAAGCTTACTTTGTCCCAGCTATCACACAAAACATACAAGAGATGCCAGCTTGAAACTATATTGGTGAATAGCCTTCTTTTTACGGATTTGTACTCTTTGGACTCTTGCCCTTTCTATATGTATTTAAATATCAATATATGCGAATGGCCTAACGCTTTTCTATTGTTCGTTGATGGATTTGCTAGTTTGTGGTGGTTTTTTGTTTATTTCATTTTAAAAATTCTATACATTTTTTAGGATTCACTCAATAGAAAGTAATCAACGTTATGAGTCCACAAGTCCATAAGCTTGATTATCTTGTATATAATAATATAATTATACAAATTGAAAGGTATTAACATATTAAATGAAAATAATGATGAACTGCAAATTGAACAAGACATTATTTTTTTTTGTTGGGGGGGGGGGGGGAGGTGGGCGAAAAATGATAGATTCATTACTTAAAAACACTCAATTTTATGAAATAAGATTTTAATTTTAAGTAAATGGAAACCTCCTGTTAAAATTACAATTTGTCAAATTAAAAAAAAATATATCATGAAAAAATGGCAAGTATTATAACTTGATATAAAAGTATTATTTCATATCTATTCAGATTCTATTTAACATAGCAACACAATTTAAGAAAGAAAATATATGAAAATGCGATTTATTTTGCTACATAATGTGTAACAAGAGGTATCTTTCAAAAATTAACCGTTTCTTATTGAGTGTTCTATTAAAACAGTAGTTTTAGTAATATCGTTTTATTTCTTTGTCCTTCCCCTCCCCCACCCCCAAAAAGTCACCAATCTTATGTCAATTTTCTTCACATTTCCTCATATTTAGTTTTTTCATTGCACACACATTACCTGACCTGAAATTATTATTTACAAATAATTATTGTCATGAAATATTTGGTTGTTATTAAACATAGAATTATAAAGATACAACATTGTACATTCAGTATATTTAACATGAACACACATGAAATGAAAAAAATGAACTTGTTTAATATAACAATACGCTTTGATTACTCTTAAAGCACAATTTTATATATAAAGCGTAATAATAACAATAATACAAGTTATATATATCATAATTCACATCAACTGTTATTCCATCCGCTTATATGCGTGGAAAGAAAAAGGGAAAACTTACCAAAAAGAAGATTTTTAGTTACATCATACAAGAAAACAGTTATTGTATGAAATGTCGGCGAATACCAAAAGTCTATGGATTTGGCTTATGTTATGATATTCACCTTGGCCGTTGGCTTTCGGCTCTGGAAATAGACTTATTCTATTTTGAAAATCATCGTACAGTTCCTGTATAATGTTTCAATTAATCCATATACTTAAGTTCTTGAGTATAGCAAATATCTTCAATATACATAGTAAACAGATCAACATATGCTTATAATAAATTATAGTATAAAAGCTTGTTATTCGAAAAACATAAAATACGTATACCGGCTCAATACTATACATTAAAGATGACAATGTTGTAAAATGTACAATCCGTAAACATTTATCCCATTAGAGATAAAATATTAATCTTAAGGATCAAGAACATGGAAACAATAATGTGTTTTGCGAGTAATTTTGAATATATAATTTTCAGTTTTAACAGCTTCTGCAAATAACATAATTTTACGCACACATTTATTTTTTTCCAACATATACATGTTTTATATAATATCAAGAAACAAAAAGACAAAGATAAAAAAAAAAACACAACAAATCATTCATAAGTCATTAAAAATGTTTGTAATAGATCTAATTATTATGCTTGAGAGTTCATAATAAAATATATGAACAAATATATATCATATAAATTTAAAACACATATGACATATCGGTCATTTGTCCTTATTAACATTAACTAAACACCTTGATATCAAAATGTTGACTTTTGTTTCATGTAGTACTAGGGGGCGTGGATGGTAAATTACATTTGCAATTACTGTTCATGAACAGACTCGAACAAATTGAGGCTGCAAAATTTTTAGTTTTGCGAATTTGCGCTTCTAAGTTTCCATTTTGTTTCTCTTTCAATTTATGGAATATTTTCCATAATGAAATGACCATCTGCCACACCTTTAACATCTAAAAACACAGTCGACACATTCCGATCTGAATTTTTTGTCACAAAATCCGTAAATTATCGGGTTTGCCACGTTATTTATCACAAATGATCTTAGGAAAACATTGTAGACTGAAACTTCAATTGGACTCATATCATTAAAGAAAGAAGGATTGAATGCCTTAAGCAATAACAAGGCTAAATGTGGTATGAAGGATAATACAAACAAAACAGGAATCATAAACAACATGAACATGATTTGCTTCGTCCGCAAGCTTGGCCTTCCTTTGACTGGATTCTTTCTCACATTCCCCAGTTTATTGATTACTTTGAGCTTTGACACCTTTCTTTCTTTCAGCCTTGATACCTTTCGTTCTATCTGCCTTTCGTTCACTTTCGCTCCGGTCCCAGTTTGGTCAATTTCTCTGACAACTTCTTTATCCGTCGCCTCTTGTAGTTCTGCTTCTAAATTTGTCTCAGTTATCACTTCTTGTGGCTCAGCCTGTCCTTTTATTGTTTTTGTCATTGGTTCTATTTGGTCCAACTCAATATTTGTTATCATTGTTGTCGACGACTCTCGTCTGTCACGATGTGAATTTACCAGTGGAGACATCGAATCTCGTCTTTCAGTATATCTTGATATCAGTTTAGACATAGCCTCTCGTCCATAAGGATGTTTATTTATCAGTAGAGATGGCGTCTCTTGTCTGTCAGTCAAATTATTTGCAAATTTTAGCATCGGCACTTGTCTATCAGTCTGTTTATTTAGTTTAGGCACCGACATTTGTCTGTCGACATGCACATTTGCCAGTTTAGTCATCGACCTGTGTCTGTCAGCTTCCATAGTTGTCATTTTAGTAAACGACACTTGTCTGTCAGCATGCATATTTGCCAGTTTATTCATCGAAACTTGTGTGTCAGCATGTTCATTTGTTAGTTTAGTCATCGACACTTGTCTGTCAGCATGCATATTTGCAAGATTAGACATCGACACTCGTCTGTCAGCATGTATATTTGCAAGATTAGACATCGACACTTGTCTCTCAGCTTGTATATTTGCAAGATTAGTCATCGACACTTGTCTGTCAGTAAGCATATTTGCCAAATTAGACATCGACACTTGTCTGTCAGCATATTCATTTGTCAGTTTAGTCATCGACACTTGTCTGTCAGCATGTTCATTTGCCAGCTTAGTCATCGACACTTCTCTGTCAGCATGTTCATTTGTCAGTTTAGTCTTCGACACTTGTCTGTCAGCATGTTCATTTGACAGTTCAGTCATCGACACTTGTCTTTCAGCATGTTCATTTGCCAGTTTAGTCATCGACACTTCTCTGTCAGCATGTTCATTTGTCAGTTTAGTCAGCGTTACGTGTCTGTCAGCGTAAGAATTTGTGTGTTTAGTCGTCGTTTGCATATTTGTCATTTCCATCGTCGAAACATGTCTGTCAGACTGTTCTTCTATCATTTTAATCGTCGACTTCTGTTGATTAGTCTTTATAATCGTTGTCTTTCCTGATTGCATTAGTCGGTCAGTCTCTCTAGTTCCTCTTGTAAACATTGTCATTTTTGAGCTTTCGTGTAGGAAATTGGAATATAAGCGATACATGTCATCTCCGAACGGGTTATTTAGTAAATCTATATCTTGTATAACTGAATTGTTTGTAGATTTTGTTCTCTTTACTGAAGGAGATTTCTTCAATTGACTTTCGTTTGTTGATGCTGTATCTTTATCAATCTCACTTGCCTTGTTACTTATCTGTGCAGGTTTGTCTGCAATGAATGATACATTACAAAATGCAGGTAATCTTTTAGAGTGTGACTAAAAAAAAGATTGGAGCACCACACTCAATACCGTATTCCGGTATAAACCGGACAAAGCGCTTGAATAATAAAATGCTAAAATCTTGCCTTTTACCTAACGGAATGAACTTTAAAAGGTCTAATTCATCATTTCACACCGATTTATGCCTAATTTATAAAAAATGTAATAATCGGCAAAAAAAACAAAACGATATTTGTTTATTTTCTTATCATGATTTCTGCAAGCGTCTTAAGGCACTGCTCCAATCCTGTATTGAGTTAAATCCAATCTTTTAGACAATAAAAGTTAAATAGATAAATTTGTATAAGTAAATTGAAATATTCTAAATGATTAAATCCACTGAACCAATGTTTTAAATTCTGTGTTACAAATCCCCTGTCTCAAAGTACAGGGCTGTGTTTCATATAAAGTCGTAAGTTTATCTTAAGTCCTAGACCGAAGGACTAACTAACTATATGTTTTACAATGGTTTGTATCTTTACTCACAGACTTTACACTTTTATCCAATCCTTAGAAATGTTTAGATATATGTTCATACAATGGCACGCGTTTTAATCGACAAAGTGGTTATGCTGATTTGCAATAAAATTTCTCTGACTGCATTATAGAAAACTATTCTTAAAATTATGAATTCGTTAAGTTTTAGCTTGGGCTGACTGTGTCCGCTTTGAAAAATATCATTTATTAATCCATAATATTTCTTTTTGAAAAGTTGATAATTAATGATGATCACACTTACCACATTTGTCGTCAAAGATAAATTGCCCGTTGTATGTATTTTCTCTAATAAACTGGTGATGATGATAGATTCGAACCCCAATCCGGAAATACAATATACCAATAACCACAGCAGATATTATGGTCAGTGTTAATAGAAATATCAGATATATTTTAGGCAGAATGGAATGTTCATAATCCGGATCTATAAAGCACTCTATTCCTGTAATGTTATGAACACCAGTGTCAACTCTAGCACTACCGTATATAAATATCGCCGGAATGGCGACTAAACAGCCTAACGCAGATGCTATACTACACATCTTTTTTATTCTAATAGGAATTATTTCCGACGGAAATGTTTGACAAATCCTCCGATGTCGTTCTATTGCTATAGCAATCACAATGAAAGCAGAACTGACCACGAGAAAAACGTGCAGAAAAGGTAATGTCTTACATGCTATTTCAGACGGAAGCACGTACGGATAAAGCATACTGACTATTAACAATGGAATTCCGACTATGCAAGCTATAAGGTCTATCCATCCTAACCACAAAATGAAACTTCTGTAAGATGATTGTGGGTACTTCGTTGTGTAAACATAAATGAGGAAGACATTGCCAACGACACCAACGACCATTAAAACAGCAATGAAAATGATCGCTGGATAATGTAAATGAACGAGAATATCGTTCAAGTCTTCAATTGTAACATTTGTTTCTAATCCTTCCCTTAATTTTTTTGGAATTGAGGTAAACATTTTTCAATATGTATACAATAATTGCCTACGAAATACTCAGGACCACCACTTTAAAGTAACAAATATCAAAATTGTCTCCAATTTAACAACATTAAATATGTCTACAGCATATTATTTCTGACGAAACAATTTCAAAACAATGTAAGCCAGCATAAGCAATTTCATCAAAATAAAATGCTAATTAGGTCAGTCAGTTATTTCCATACAAGAAGTCTAGACAGCAATTGGTCATTTACATCCAATGTGTCAGGGTCAGTGACTTGCAAGGCATTAAGCCCGAACTTGCTAACTGCTTAGAAAATGGTTTAATCGGAAGAGATTCTCTTCCAGTAACATTTGTACTCTGTTAAATGATATCCGTAACTATTAAATACATAGTTTGTGTTTTCAAGAATATTGTTTAACACAAAACACGTATCGGCTTTTTGTCATTAAATTTCTAATTTACACTATTTTCTTTTAAAATCAACATCTGTTTGATATTTAAATAAAATATGAATAATTAAATATTAAATTTAAGGCTTTACACGCTATCGAAACACAGGTATGACATTTAATGTTTTGAAATGACTGTTTTGTTTTTAAAACAAAACTTAATTATTTTAATATTCATTTTTTTTATAAATTCACTTCCATGTAAATCCGATCCAATATTCTCTCCACTTTTTTATTTTATTTTATATGTGTCTGCAACAATAGCAAATATTGAAATGGTTGTGACAAAAAGGATATTCATGTGACTTTATCAGCACATATTTAACATGCCACAGGAAGTAATGTCTACAAGATAAAACGGTCATATTCATTATTCATTAAAGGTCCAATCTATATAGATGCTTTCTTTACGATAAAAGTATTTTCATATTGCATTGCTAAATGTCATATTTATTATCATTAAGTTTGTTTATACATGTATGTCTACCAGCTTGCTTACGAGACGGTGGTTTTAATCAGGTGTCCGTTCGTGCCTGAAATAATGGGGCAGCTGATGTGCTACTCCAACAAACATTAAACTGAAATGTCGCCATGTTTTGGTGCGACGTTAAACCAAAATAAAAGTGTATGTCAGTTTTAAACTCCAGACAAATCGCTTAAAGAGACATTTCATTAGATTATATTTTACTAAATAACACAATTACAGCCATTGTTGCTGCTTAAACAGCATACGGCAAACGCTTTGTCACTAAGAACGAAAGAAAGAAAGAAAGAAAGATAGAAAGAACAAAAGAAAGAAAGAAAGAAAGACAGAGAAAGAAAGAAAGATTCTCCTTCATAGAAACAAACTTTGGATAAGAGGTAGTCTATCGGAATCTATGAAAACAACAAAAATTATTTTAAGATTGCTGACTCAATTTTATTGAATTTATTCATGAGGGATGCTCCTGAAAAGAAACATCACCAACTTCCCCGGGCACCTGCTAAACCTGTATTCAATCTTCAACTTTAACGTACAGATATAATTGACCCAAAAGCCGTATTGATTACGCAAAACATTTCTTAATATTCCCCATTTAAAGAATAAATCACGAAATGCCAATCCCAAAACAGCATTGAACTCTAGATTGTTATCAGTATTTCCGTATATTTTGTCACTTTGGCTTTATTTGACTAACAATTTAATTAAGCCCGCAAAACATCAACCATAAAATTTTAAAAGCATTATTATGGTGGTAATTCCCTTATTTAAAACATAGCTACCTTTATTTTGAAAACATAACTTTTTTCAAGCCGGTGCTTGGGGGCGTGAGGGATGAAGCACTTTTTTATCCCTCTTGTACAGAATTAATCAAACCGACTCTGCAATTTTCATGTAATTTGCTGTTTTGATGATTCTGATAGATCATTTTTTTCCAGATATTTTGATATATTTCAAACATAAAATTAAACAGAACTTAAATACATGAACAATAAGATATTTTATGACAAAATGCTTGTTTGTCTGTTAGATAAAAGATACGAATAAAAGATTATAAATGCATTTGTATACCTACTGTTATAACGTAAATAAGAATAATTCCTTTTGCTAAAATGTCTACATTATATAATATTTTCATAATCAAAAGAAGTCTTTCGGTACAGAATATTGAATTGTAAAATGTATTTATTTATGTATTTATTTATAATGCGTAATGTTGCAAAAGCAAATCAGTTTAAGCTGTCGCTAACAATTTTTCTCGAATTCTGTGTCGGACAAACCTCTACGCTTATTTTCCTCAACCAACTCATTACCGGATTCAAATGCATTCAACTTCACCATTTTTAGTTTTCTATTCCGACATGATGCAGGTTAAATATTCTTTAAACATTTAAACAACTTTAATGTTCTTCTCATAGCGACATAGCTATGTCTAAACATAAAACCATGTCATTTTGGTTTTGTTTGTAAATTTGCTGAAATTAGTTCCAGAGTTAAAGTTATAGTTTTTTGACAATACTTAGTTAAGTGTATCCTTAAGACAACAAGTAATCGCTTAATAAGTAATGTATCAATTACATGTTGTATACAACTACATATGCTGGCGATTATACTGATAATGTTAGAGTTTTTTAAAAAAACAGCAAAGAAACTCACAATCTACAATTTGCATTACACTGGGATGTACTATAACGTATGTTCCAGATTACATAATGACATAATTTTACCTAAAAGACTGCACAAATTATGGAAGAACAGACTTTTGTCACAATAAATATAGATATAAAAATCAATACTAAAACTAGTAATATAAGAGATATAAAAATCAATACTAAAACTAGTAATATAAGAGATATAAAAATCAATACTAAAACTAGTAATATAAGAGATATAAAAATCAATACTAAAACTAGTAATATAAGAGATATAAAAATCAATACTAAAACTAGTAATATAAGAGATATAAAAATCAATACTAAAACTAGTAATATAAGAAATATAAAAATCAATACTAAAACTAGTAATATAAGAGATATAAAAATCAATACTAAAACTAGTAATATAAGATCCGTTCCACTTATTTCTGACATCTTTTTAACTTAAACATAAACGCATATCTTGCACAATATATGATAAAGAGTATTATTTTCGATCTGTTGGCCCCGTAGTTATTGTAAATTGATCTCAAAATTCATTCGATTAATAGCGGTCATAGAAAAGAAAAAAATGAAGCAGGAAAAATCGTGACTGACCTACTTGATGTGCTTTCAAATGTTATGTTATTTAGCCATTCTAGGTACTGATCTTACTCCTACTTTCCAGACATTTATCAAACACATCAGTAGTTGACATGTACCGTGTGGCAGTCGTGAAAAACGTTACCCTGTACTTCCCTTCCGTGTTGTTATATTTCTCTGTTCTTTCGGGATCATCGATTCCTATATGTTAGTGTATAAAATTGAATACCACTTAAACTGGTGCTAAGGGTCTTTGAAGATGTTGCAGTTTTATATTATCTCCCGTGAACTAACTCAATCAAGTAGAACCTGCAATTTTCAATGTTTTTATGTTTTCATTGCTTCGGAAGAAATCTGTCCTTTTTCAGATTTAAAAGAAAGATTATGTACCTTATTATCAGAATCCTATAAAAGTATTTGACTGAAACATTAATGGATGTTTGTAACATATATAGCGTTTCTTATAAATTTATCATCATATAAATAGTTCATAGAAATTGAATTGCAAGTAGATTTTCCAAACAAAAAATGCAAATTTGCATAAAAACTGTTACAGTTGAAAACTGAAAACAGTTACAAGACAACAAAGTCTCTTTACAAGTCATGTTTCAATATTTTCTTTAACATTATCTATCAGTTACCATTTACATGTTTAAGTAAATGCTAACAAATAACGCGTACGTATTAAACAATATTTATGGCACAATTGAAAGTGTTACATGGTTTGAACTACAAAACTGTTGAAATATCAATAAATAAATTTTCTACGTGTATCAAATATATTTAGTGAAAGAAAATAATTATGTGTTATGTACTTTTTATTTTTTTTTTTTATTTATGATAATCCAGTATGTAACGCTTTAAAATATTCATGTTTTACACATTCATATGACTAAGCAGAGATGAAGGGACGAAATAAATAAATATCATGTTCTCATATGAAAGTTTTAGAAAAAAAGCTTAATATATAATTTTGCAGTTTATTTTAAAAGGAAGTATTGTATTTGCAAGAATATATGTATACAGAAAGACAGAAAATACAATGTTATTTACAAAGAAACTTATATGGTAACATATTTTACACTTTAATAATTGAGGTGTATGTAGTAGAATGGAACTTTCGTTGACTTCAAACCACTTGTTCTTTATCAATTTGGGTTAAAATCCCGCAAGGGAAATGGTTGTGAGGAAGCTATTTAGTAACCTTAAGGGATGTCGGTGGTTGTACTCATAATACCGCCTGTGTTTGAAATAATCCACACAGAAGTACCTGATGTCTTCCCTCATCAGTAAAGCTAGTAAAACTGAAAATTGTTATATAAACTGTGCCTATAAGACTTAAAGTTTAACAACATCTGCAAATAAAATGACTGATACTGTCTAAGCACTTTAAGCCTCAGAAATTCGTTTTTTCCTAAAAAGGCTTCACTGTAACTCACATTGTTTTATATATTTTGATAATAGTGTTGAGAGAATCCCTTAAGAACGCCGAAACAACAAAATTGAAACTGCTTCAGGCTAAGTTTGATTGAGGCTGTTCATGGGCGGTACTGGTCCTGACTTCCATGTCCAAAAGTCTTTTATTAATTAAAAAAATCATGTTAGCATTTTTGTAATTGGTCAACAAAAACATGCACTATCTAGAAAACAGACGCCACATAAATCTATGATTTTTTCTGTATCACCACAGACATTTTTGTCCAACTATTTTTCTTAAACATTTGCCTCCGAGACATCTACTTGTTCAGAATACTTCGTCGGCATATGTAAGGGTGTGTGAGATATGTTGTATTCAGCATAGTTATTGTAATCTATACACTTATTTAAAGTGAAACTTTTTTGATATTATTATTTCGAGTACATGTCGCGACATTCTTCTTCTTTTTTGTTGCATTCTCTTTAACTGGCGCAATACAAATGAGTTTGCTATTTTCAGTTGTTCAATTCGCTTTCGTTGTTTATAATGGTGTTTTAAATTATAATTGCCGCTTGTCTTTAAGCAATTGAACGGTACCGGTCGATGTGTTTGCCCGTTTTAGAGGCATCAAAAGTATTAAAAAGACAAAGTGACAATGTTATATTTTAATCATATAAAAACTATTTTTATTTAAAAAAGTAAACAAAATAATTGCATGTATTAAAATTTGAAGTAATTGAATAAAAATGTTCGGAACACAGTAAAAAATAAACAACAAAGATACAACAATGGACATGTATTTAACTTGACAAATATGCTTAACCTTTTTATCAATATCAAATTGATAAAACATTTGAAAACAATTGAAGAGTGTATAATAAGAATGAAAAGTCAGGGAATGTCATTTTACTGATTATCTTTTGCTAAAATACATGTTTATCTTTGTACATAAAAATGAGATTACACTGACATAATAATATTCATCACTCTTAGAATACCACTTAATATAATTTAACTGATACAATTGCATTGCTATCCTAAGGCATATATTTTGAATGTTAATGTCACTTTGTAAAAATATGTTAGTGTGAAACTCAGTACGTAACATAAT